CCCTATACCACCACCACAGGCCCCTGGCTTGGCCTCCATCCACCCAGGCGGGTATTAAATGCCCCTTTAACCTACAGGATCGGTTACTAGGATTCCACTTTTTTCTTGACTGATGATATAGTCCAATTTGGCTGTGATGGAGGGGAATGCTTGGGAAAATCTTTGGCCTTTTCCTTGGAACTTATTGATGAACCTGGAATCAAATGAGTTGAATGCTTCCAGAAAGGTTGCACTTTCAGAGTTAGATACAGCTGAAACCATGGAATCACTGCGGTCTGTTTGGTTAGTCTCTAATTTGCCGGGTTGTACACTGAAGTCAGCCTCTTTGTCTTCCTTATTGGTAAATATTCTGTCATCATACTGGTTACTTTCTCCATAGTCAGACTGGTTGTTGTCTGTGTCATCATCTTCTTCGTCAACGTGGTCAGACGCACTGTAGTCAGGCTTGTCAACTGTAGGGTGCTGAGTACTGCTCTTACCTTGGTCAGCAACCTGGTTTTCAGTTAGCTCAGTAATTTGGCCATATACTTTGTGGTGAGTCTTTACAGATGTTTTGTAGCCAATTTGGTCAGATGATCTATTGTCAAACCGTTTAGAAGTTTTTTGTTCAACCAGACCAGACTTTCTGCTGTCAATCTGTTCAGAAGTTCTTTGGTCAACCAGACCAGACTTTCTGCTGTTAATCTGTTCAGAAGTTCTTTGGTCAATCAGACCAGACTTTCTGCTGTCAATCTGTTCAGAAGTTCTTTGGTCAACCAGACCAGACTTTTTGCTGTCAATCTGTTCAGCAGTTCTTTGGTCAGCCTGGTCAGACAATCTGTGGTCAGTCTGTTCAGAAGTTCTTTGGTCAGCCTGGCCAGGCACTCTGCGGTCAATCTGTTCAGAGGTTCTTTGGTCAGCCTGGCCAGACAGTCTGCGGTCAATTTGTTCAGAGGTTCTTCGGTCAGTTTGGCCAGACAATCTGCGGTCAATCTGTTCAGAGGTTCTTCGGTCAGTTTGGCCAGACAATCTGCGGTCAATCTGTTCAGAAGTTCTTCGGTCAGCCTGACCAGAGAATCTGTGGTCAGTCTGTTCAGAGGTTAGTGCTTTATGCAGAACAGGCATCCAACTGTCAGTTGGCTCAGATTCTACATGATGGGCTTGGTGAGATGCCTTGCTGGCCATCTGTTCAGACATTGTTTGGTTAAACTGATCAATTCCTGTGTGTTGAGCAACTTTATAACTGTTGGATGCTCTGAGCTCAGCCTCATCAGATATTCTGTGCTCACTGTATTCAGACTCTTTGTGGTCTGCTTGGCCAAATATGATGGGTTGAGTCTGGCCAGATACTTTTTGGTCATAGTCCTGGTTAGCTGTTCCGTGATCAGTCTGGTTATCTGCCTCCCCTTTATCCAGGTTCTTCCTGTTGTCTTCCTGGAGATCTAGGTGGCTGTCATTTAGGGACTTGCTTGTGCTTTCAGGTTCCAATGGATTCCCGGGAGCCTCTTCTAGAAGCGCTTCCATGTTCTGCTTGCCCCTGACTGGTCTAAGTTGCCAGATGCTGTGGGTGGGGCCAGTCTGGGTTGTCTAGGCGACCCTGTGGGGAACGCAGGACAACAATGCCTGGGGCCTTTGTGTGGGCCTCAGAGCACCGCTCCCCCCTCCTCCCTCCCTGCCTGGAGCTCGGGCTGTCGCCAGAAGGTGAGGTGGCTGCGGGCTTGGCTGCGGGCTTGG